ATTGCTCCCGATGCTGTGCATTGGTGTGTGAATGCGTATGAATGCATTAGTTTCCATTCTTTGCCATACCTGAGTGAATGTGTGAAAGGGCGAATGTAGCATGTAGTTTTAAAGTGCTTTGAGTGGTCCGAAGACTAGAAAGGCACAATGAAGCATTTGATGTTGTATATGTGCTACTTCTCTTTAATAGTGAAAAACCTTCAAACATTAATACAAACATACCCATATACATAAAAGGTCTGTCTTACATGTACCATAGAAATATTTAAATTTTTTCTTACAGGTTTTGTATTCAGTTAAGGAATGTGTTGACAGACTCTGTCATTGCACCATTTACAACAATACTGGTAAGATTTGTAGATACAAAGTTTCATATCAGTAAACAGTATCCACTGAATATGTATACATGAGTGTGTGTCTGGACAGTTGTGCACATCTGTTTGCTTCATTTTACAGAGCAATATCAGCAAGTCCAATCAGCAGGTCCTTCCATCATTGATATTTGCTGTTGGCTGTCTGGCTCAAGATGACGTCATCCGTCACAGTTTTGCTCATGATTCTGAATGTTGGAAGACCTTTGTGGTTGCCATTGTTAGTACCACCATCAGACTGGTCTCTTTGCATAGAAAGACAAATCACTGCTCCATTTAAGTGAATTTAGATACATACAAGAAATGAAACATCTCAGTACGGTTGAATCACACCATTAGACAATAAGCTGTTTTTTAAACTGGCTGTTTATTGAGTGCAGAATGTGTTGGTCCTTGCAGAAGCAGTGCTGTGCATGTGAATACAGAGAGGTCCTTTACCCAATGCTTGGTTTGATCATGAACCTTTCAACTGTCACCTCTCCTGTTATTCAGGTAAGACAAGAGATGTGTAATATTTGATGTGTGATATTTATTTTGCCTGGTATCTCTAGTTATTTTAATAGTGGGCACTGTACTAATTGACGTTATAATGATTCTGTATCATAGATAAGATTGAGCTGAACTGTCTTTTAATGTGTCTTGAAAAAGTTCGCTCCACACCACTGAAATTTAATAGCTAAAAATATTCTTGATTGTAAAAAAAATATATTAAAAGCCAGTGGACAATAGGAGCAGAGGGGGCATTTGTGTGAACTGCGATGTGTGACCTAATCAGTCACCTAATCAGAGGTGAAATGTATGTGAAAATTGGTTTAGCCACTTGTCCATCTCCTTTATGTAGGAGCATGCTGTTTCACTCTGTGACTGCTGTCGGGGCCTGCTGAGGGATAGTGATGGAGGAGTCATAACTGTGAGTGAACCTTACTTTAGCACTACACTATAAGGAGGGTTTAAAAAAGAGTATTATAGTAGGACTAGGAAACCTTAACACATTATACATGTAGTTCCTTTATAACTCCCACTAGGTTTTCATTTTGGGTTGTATTACTGTGTTGAAAAGTATTTGTATTTAGAGACTTTTATGGTTGTTGAAGAAGTTTTTCTTTTTTGTTTTCTAAACTTGCGTACATCCTGTAAAGCATAAAACCATCCTTTTAGGTAACTAGATGAAAAAAAAAGGACATTTGTCTTTAGTAATGGGCCATTTCAAGGCCTTGTGAGCTCACTGGCAATGTGCCCCAAAAGGTGGTAACAGGAATCCACAATGTTCAGAGGATCCTGTATATGTGTCATTACAGTTGATTAAAACTCCAGCTCCAGGTGCTGTTGTCTGTGCTAATGGCTGTTATAGGCTGTTATAGGCTGTTCACACTGCTTATGCAATGCCCTCAGAGTCCCACACTTCCAACCATCTGTCTCTTTACTCTGTTTTAGAGCTCATTCAGTGCCTGGCTGGCACTTTTTCTTCCTTGTCACCTGGTGTGAACATCTTTTTTAAAATAATTTCCTCAATCTTTTTCTCTGCTGTGTTCTCTTTTCTTGCTTTGTACCTTACTTTCTCTTTAATATATGATAATGACAGACACACACACAAAACAGTCTGACATACTGTACTGCCCTCAAATCATGTAATAATAATGTGTGATTTAACAGATCCAGTCTGCAAGAGTGCCCATGTGTGACCTTTTTCTAATTCGCATTTGCACGTCTTTTCTTTTTATTATCCTGTCCTTGAAAGTGTCGCTATAATTTCATGTTCACTCACATGTTTTCTCAACTCTCTCACCACCTTTACATTCAACTTTTGGTACTTTGTTGCTGCAAACACACTCCATAACACCTACTGATTTCATGTCTTGAAACAGCAGTTTTCTGTTTTTCAATTCTCCACCTTTTTCCAACTACACTTTCCCATTCACTTTGTCTCCAGTAGTTCTCTCTGCATGCAGTTTCTCTTGATCCTCTGCTATCCTGTCTAGTTCTCTGTTCTGTTTCCCATCTATCTTTCTCATTCTACCTTTCTTGATCTTCTTTTATCTCCTTTTCTAATGCCAGCATTCTTCTTTGTCCTCCAGAGAGCCACAGGCGTACTGAGCACTGTCCTCCCTCAGTCATCTGAGGCCGTTCAGCATGTTGTTCAGGGGGATGTGGTCCGGACCATGCGGCGGATACTGAAGGTACATGCTACTGTACATACAGCCATGTTTCTGTGAATACATCAACATCTTACTTGTGGACGTTTCATATAAGTTGTAATGCAGAATATTTAAAGGCCCAACTTTGAAATAGTCTGTGATATTAAGTGATTCTGGAGAAATCCAATACCATGACAAATACCATGATATAGTGCAAACAACTCCACAGCAAGAAATGTAACTAACGTTGTGTGTTTTCAAACTGTTAAAGTTGCTAAAGTTGCGAGAGAGGAGTAGGCCGTTTTACAGAGTAAGCACACCAGTTCCAGACAACGATACTCACCAATAACTCTCCAGCTACTGTAGCCAACATCACAACAGCATATCTTGACAAACTAGAAAATAAGCTGAACGTGCGTGGGCATGTCATTTAACGTTACCTGAAACATAAATCCTGACTCGAATGGCTGGAATAACAAGTTAATGTTGTGTGGCTCATTCTGATCCACTTTGTTTGTTTCCCAGTTACAGAGCTGATATCAGTGTTTTTTTTTATGCACACACAGAGCAGAAAGCTAGTGGACTGTAAGGAGATGTTTGCTGAATTTGACAAAAAGTATATTGGATTAGACTTACCTAGAATCGCTTTTGTCACCTTTAAGAATGACTACTTTTGTATGTCAGCTATTTTGTGTCTGTGAGACATATGTGAGTGGTCATTCATGTGCTGGTATAAACACCCACATTGCATTTACACACAGTGTAAGTGATTACCAAGTTCATGCCTACATATACCTGTAAACATTCACTATCATGATTATCTAAAGATGCTATGAAAACATGCTGAGGAAAACTGAAACTGTGTATGTGTACTCATTCCACCACAGGTATGTATTTCTTCATTTGTGTGACCTCAGAGTTTTGTTAAAGATTAAAAACATATGTTTTACTTGTCTAATGTCATTGTTATTCTTGTGTCTGCCGACCCAGGGAACAGGGCATACTGCCACTAAGTACGCCATTAAGACTCTGACAGTGTGCACTGCTGCCAGTCAAATGGCGCGGGAGGAGCTGCTGAAGTCTGATAAAAGTGAGAAATGATTGACATTACTTTTACAAGCCCTCTCATTAGTCCATGAATAATATTTGATGGTTTGACCTAATATGCAAATGAAGTGTGTGTACGTGTGTGTCTGCATTTGTATGTATACTGAATGTGTGTGAATGCATTGTGCTGTATATCTGTAGATTTTTTTGTCACAACATGTGTTTGTTAATATATTTTAAAGTGCTATTCCCTTCCTATTTGCTATTCATTTATCGTTCCACACAGAACTGTCTATTTTACTTCATTTGCTGGATTCCAGCTGTGATGAGATGGTGTCAGGAAATGCCGCCCTGTGCTTGGCCCACTGCCTTGAGTTAGAGGGAATTGCCAGCAACCTGCTGGGCACGGATATCGTGCTGCTGCTACTGCGCCACGCTGCAGGGGACGCTAAGAGGACAGCTGTGCAGCAAAATGCAGCAATTGCTCTTGGGAAGCTGTGTCGATCTGAGCCCAGGTACCCTCTCACCTCACTCTATGAACCACATGCTGTTGATTACATCTAGAAACTAGCCTTAAGGAGAACTGATCGATTCCATGAAATGCCACTGATAATGAGCTAATGCGATGTCATGGCTCTGGTTAAAGTAGCTGTTCACACACGAAGCACATTTATGACTTCTGCCGCATGCTGACCTGAAATATTCAAATGTTTGTTTACTATATTTGTATTTGCATCTCAAAGTGAGTATTCAATGCTTGCTTATTATATATTGTATATAAATGTATATTTTTAGTTAGTCTATATTTTGTCCTCTGACTACTACAGAGTCATTCTGCACATGTGATGATTGATGAACAACGGTAATGCATGGTGATAGCTGTAATATTACCACTGTTTCTTAATATTTGCAGTTGGTCTACAGCTTAATTGTGATGGATAGGCTGATAGCCGGCAACAGACTGAGCCATGTCTTTATTGTACTGAGTGTACTAAGTCCAGAAAGAAGGAGATGGAAATGGAAATGGAAATGGAAAGAGAGTGACAGAGAGACAGTTTTGACTGTATAACATTGGACTTAGGTTTCGATGTTTTTCACATCTTCCTCATATTTGAAGGAAGTTTTGGTATTTTTTGCTGAAAAAATTATTAAAACAGGGATCTCCAACGTGGTGCCCAAGGACACCTGGTGTCACCACAGAGCATTTTCTATAGTCTTAGTCTTTATTTTTTTTTTTCACAATACAAGGAAATGTAAAAATGGGTTCCATTCTGTCAGAAGTTTAAATACAATAGACTTTTAGCCTTCATTACATGTTTGGAATTTAAATCATGTTTCGTATGTATATATACATATATATGTATTAATCTTATACATTACTACTAGATGTAACACAAAATGTTACACAAAATCTGATGAATGATATCGTGTTGCTGTAGGGAGTCTTCCATATATTGTAGCACCTCTCTGATTATGTGAGTAGAATTGTTGTGTTGTATCCTTGATAATGGATGATGACAGCAACGACATCACTTTGTCCCTATAGGAACACTGTTACTTTTTTCTCTTTTCTTCAATTTCAGACACATGAACAAACTTCGAGAACTACACGGCCTTGAGATCCTGCACTCCTGTATGAAGCTCATCACATGAACCTGTGACACTAACATGTTTTATAATCTCCTTGCTTTTCAACTGTCTTTTTGTTTCTTCTCTAATCTCTGATTTAGACACTTCCCCAACTACTGGGGGTCAACCAATCCTCATATCTTTTTTCTGTTTTTTTTTTTTTTAAACTCATCATTAGTTACTATTCCAATTGATTTCAATCATTTATGCTAAATTATAGGGATTTTTTTTTTTTTTTTACGAAAGCTAAGGCTGTCTTGAGAATAATCAAAGATTAATTTTACTTGGATATGGTTCTGCTCTTAATTGCCAAATCTACATAAACAAGGTCATACATATTAGCAAAGGCTACCCTTGTCTTTCATGCCCATATGAATTTATATGGTTAATGGTTATGGTTAACCACTAATAAATATGCCTGGATGGAGGTGCAAGTGCAGTCAGTTTTACCATCTTTATGTGTCTATTATTAGATAACATAAAACAAATTATTTGTCCTGAATACTTGAATACACACCTAGTTTGAAGAGTTCACTTGTACAGTGGTACAAACTGTTGAATGGATTGAACTGTTGGATTCAGGCCTGATATTGATCAGGCAGCATTAACATACTGATGGTATTTGAAGTGAGACACTGATTAGAGCAATGGTAGACTTTGCATAGAGACATAAACCTGAGACTCATTCATCTTGAAGGTGTTTCTCTTATTTACCATGAAGTATACAGCTGGCTTAGCAGCCAGTATCACTGGCAATCTTGTCAGCCATACTCAGCCATACTCTTGTGACCATAATCTCAAGTTTAAATAAAGTGTGAAAGTGTTGTTTTCCTCTGTGCCGGCCTTTGGTATTTCTCTTATCTTTTGGTTCTTTAGATCTGTAGTCGGCTTCTTTGTTTTTTAAAATTAATTTCCAGAGAGGTGCAGTTGAGGCTTGTGTATATTACTGACAAAAAAAACCTTTTCATCTGTGTTTGGATTCCCTGGATGGCAGTACTGAAGGGACAAATTATCTCAAAATAAACAAATTTGCAGTTTAAAGACTGTTTACAGTTCAACTAAATTTGGGGTCTGCCAGATCTGCATGTCTTTCAAATATGGAGATTACTTGTAAACTCACAGAAAGGGCAAAACAGACAGACAAACAGCTCTAACCACTGCAGCATTGTGCTGCTGTCGCTACTTGCATGTTGAGCACAACCACTCTAAGAAGGTCAGAGCTATAACTCTGCTAGCATAGTGTTTGCACACCCACTGTGATAGCTTGCAGAGTTGTACCCAGTGAGACAAGACACGTATAGCTGCACTATACTGTAAAAAAGTCAATAGTGTAGACCTTGTGGTTTAAGGTGTGTTTGTGGGTATTTGCAAGTCTGAATGCTCCTGTGACTGGATAGCCCTGTTGAAATGGTTGGCATAAAGTGGCCATAGTGTTATTACACATTAGGAGGGAATATAAAAGGCCATTTAGAGTTTTTAGTGATGTTTAGTGGCGTGGATCTAGGGATGGCAATGTTGGTCAGTCAGTCCTCCACAACAACTATTGGATGATTTGCCATTAGATTTTATACAGAAATTCATAAATCCTACTGACTTTGATCATCTGATTTGATCTTTTGCTTTTTCCTCTAGTGCCAGCATGAGGTTGAAATGTTTTTTTTAGTTAAATATCTTAACAAATTTAGCATGGACTGCCATGAAAATTGGCAGAACTAACAACATTCTCATCAGCATCAGTTCTGGTTTAATTGCTGATTAGCAAATGTTAGCATCCTAATGGGCTAAGCTAAGATGGTTAACGACTATACCTGCTAAACATCAGAACATTAGCAATGCCATTGTGAGCATGTTGGGCCAAAGTATTCCCAGCCTCCGCTCTGAGGCTTGATTGCAGACTTGTTTTGTGCTTGCTTACATGTCAGAAAATTAAAAACCTTTTTTTAACATCACCCATAGCAGTGCACATTTTCATCGATTTACATTTTACATAGGTGCAAATAATTAAAGAGTATAGAGTATTTCATAGTAACTCATTCAATTAATAAATACAATTTACCATATATAAAATTCAGATTTAATTTCTAATACATTTACTATTCTTAACATCTTTTGTACCTGTTGGCAACGGAGTAACAGCACTGACGGTAAAAGGAACTGAGAAATCTAATCCATGAATAAATGAACTGCAGAGGACAAAAGCTCCCTGTAAGGGATGACACCATCTGTGTATGTCTGCAAACACCTGATACCGTCTGCTGAGTTGGATTTAACAGTAATAAGAACACTTATTCAGTGGGGCTTGAGCAATTGCAAACACAACTGAACAGAAATGAGGAGGCTTGACTGTTTTGCACTTGGATTTTTCCTGCTTGCAGGTATGTACTCACTTTTTATCTTTGTTTTTTAGGTACTGAGCAGGTAATTTGTGCCATTGCTGGTATTTCATGTGAGTTTGTAAATATTAAAAATATATTTTTTAAATTTGAAAACTGAATATAGTTCTGAGTTACAGTTTAAAAACATGATGATACATGTTGCAAAGCTTTATCTACAAACAGTGACACAAGTACTGAGGACATTTTTCTGAATTCTCTTATTTTCTTTCACACAAAAATATAAAGCCAAAATAACAACTACTTTAAAAACATTTTGCCATGAAACATTAAACTTACAGTAAATAAC